AAAAAAAAAAAAAAAATATATATATATATATATATATATATATATATATATATATATATAAAACGTTTGAGTCCCTGTTTTCAATTCTTCGGGGTTTATAGGTAGAAGTGGGATTGCTGGGTCATATTGGTAATTCTATGTTTAACATTTTGAGGAATTGCCAAACTCTTTTTCATAGCAGCTGCAACATTTTACATTCCAATCAGCAATGTTTGAGGGCTCCAATTTCTCGACATCCTCACCAACATATTATTTTCTTTTTTTTAAATACAGTTTTTAAAGGTTACACTCTATTTACAGTTATTACAAAATACTGGCTATATTCCCCATGTTGTACATTATATCTTTTAGCCTATCTTACACCCAGTAGTTTGTACCACCCACTCTCCCACTGGTAACCACTAGTTTGCCCTCTATATCTGTGAGTCTGCTTCTTTTTTGTTATATTCACCAGTTTGTTGTATTTTTTAGATTCCACATATAACTGATGTCATTCAGTATTTGTCTATCTGTCTGACTTATTTCACTTAGCATAATGCCCTCCAAGTCCATCCACGTTGCTGCAAAAGACAAAAGTTTGTGGGGGTTTTTTATGTCTGAGTAGTTTTCCATCGTATATATACACCACATCTTCTTTACGCACTCATCTGTTGATGGGCATTCAGGTTGCTTTCATATCTTGGCGATTGTAAATAATGCTGCTATGAACATTGGGGTGCATGTATCTTTTTGAATTAGCGTTTATGTTTTTTTTCAGATATATAGCCGGGAATGGAATTGCTGGGTCAATATGGTAGTTCTATTTTTAGCTTTTTGAGAAGCCTCCATACTGTTTTCGACAGTGGCTGCACAGATTTACATTCCTACCAACAGTGTACGAGGGTTCCCTTTCCTCCACAGCCTCACCAACATTTGTTATTCGTGTGTTTTTTGATGATAGCCATTATGGCAGGTGTGAGGTGATATCTCTTTGTGGTTTTGATTTGCATTTACTCAACTAATACTAATGATGTTGAACAACCATTCATATGTTTATTAGCCAGTTATCCCAGCACCATTTGTTGAAAAGACTATTCTTTCCCCCGTTGAACAGTCAGCACCCTTGTCAAAAATCAACTGACCATAAATATATAGGTTTATTTCCTGACCCTCAATTCTATTCTATTCATCCATATATCTTTATGCCTGTACCACAGTGTCCTAATTACTGTAATTTTGTAATAAGTTTTAAAATTGGGAAATGAGAGTCGTCTGATTTTGTTTGTCTTTTTCAAGCCTGTATTGGCTATTCTGGGTCTCTTGCATTCTCGTATAAATTTTAGTATCAGCTTGTCAACTTCTGCAAAGATGCCACCTGGGATTTTTATAGGGATTGTGTTGGTAGATCAATTTGGGGAGCATAGATGTTCTAACAATTATGTCTTCCAATCCATGAATACGGGATGTATTTCCATTTATTTAGGGCTTATTTTTTTAAAAAATAATACTTTATTGTTTCAGAGTGTACGTTTTGCATTTCTTTTGTTACATTTATCCTTAAATTTTATTTTATTATTTTCGATACTACTGTAAATGGAATTTTTCTTAATTTCATTTTTAGATTGTCTGTTGCAAGTGTACAGAAACATAATTGATTTTTATATACTGATCTCACATCTTACATCCTTGCTGAACTCGTCCTAATAAATTTTTAGAAAATCCTCAGGATTATCTTTATACAAGATCACGTTATCTGAAAACAGAGATAGTTTTACTTCTTCCTTTTCAATCTGGAGGCTTCTTATTTTGTTTTCTTGCTGAATTGTCTTGGCTACTTACAGTACAAAGTTGAGCAGAAGTGGTGGGAGCAGACATGGTTCCTTATCTCAGGAGGAAAGCATCTAGTCTTTTATCGTTAACTATAATGTTAGTTGTGAGGTTTCTGTACATGCCCCCTTCAGGTTGAGGAAATTCCCTTCTTTTCCAAATTTGTTGAGTATTTTTATCACAAAGAAGTACAAGGAAATGTAAGATTTATTCAAGTTGCACCCTACCATTCCCTTAAACCAAAATTGGTGTGAGTTAGGAGTTAGTGCTAAAATCTGCCTTCTCTACCCCTATTCTAGGTAGCAGCACTTCCTGGAGAAAAACCACACACCTGAAATAGGTGCCACAGTAAATTTTTGCCTCACGTAAGCCAGGCCTATATCCTATATCCAGTCTGTTGGTATTACCTCCCAAATTTATCTTGAGTCCAACCACTTCCCTCCATTCTCACTGTCCCTATGCTAGTCCTACTAGGACTATTGCAACATCCTCCTACCTGATTAACTTCTGAATCCACTCTTCTCTTCCCACCACCCCAAGAGTAGATTCTTCACCCTACGACCAGACTAATCTTCAAAAATTCCCAACTCTGGGGACTTCCCTGGTGGCACAGTGGTTAAGAATCCACCTGCCAATGCAGGGGACACGGGTTTGAGCCCTGGTCTGGGAGTATCCCACATGCCACAAAGCAACTAAGCCCCTGCGCCACAACTACTGAGCCTGTGCTCTAGAGCCCACGAGCCACAACTACTGAAACCCACGTGCTCTAGGGCCCACCTGCCGCAACTACTGAGCCCGCATGCCACAACTACTGAAGCCCGCGCGCCAAGAGCCCATGCTCCACAACAAGAGAAGCCACTGCAATGAGAAGCCCACACACCGCGACGAAGAGTAGCCCCTGCTCGCTACAACTAGAGAAAGCCCGCAGCAACAAAGACCCAACGCAGCCAAAAAACATAAATAAATAATAATTCCCTACTCTATCTTTCCCCTACTTAAACAGCTTTAATGGATTCTCGTTAATGTTAAGATAAAATATAAAACCCTGGACATAGCCCACAAACTCTGCATGATTTGGACCCTTATTTTCTCTCCTGCCTAATGATATGGACACAAGATGAGGCTTAATAATTTGCCATTTCCCTACCTACATGCACAGACACAAGCGCACACAAACACGCACACGAGTGCACCAAGCCAATATCCTTTTTTTAAAATTGAAATACGGTTCAGTGACAATATTGTTAGTTTCAGGTATACTACATAGTGATTTGACATTTGCATACATTACAAAATACACCACGATAAGTCTAGTAACCGTTTGTCCTAAGCCAAATCCTTTAATGCTAGTCAAGTATTTATTTAGGGGAGGTGGAGAGAATTTTAGAAACATTCATTTACCAATTCACTTCCTTAAGCCAGAGTCACAGTTCTGAACTAATTTGTAAAAGATTTCTCACTTCTCTCTGATTCTTATTCTCTCCTTAGTAATGAGGGTGAGAGATTTTCTTACAACAGAGAAACAGAGAGAAGCATATTAAAGGGTTTTTTTTAAAGATTATTTTTTATTTATTTTAATTATTATTTTTATTTTTGGCCACGCCCCTTGGCTTGTGGAATCTTAGTTCCCCAACCAGGGATCGAACCCCAGCCACGGCAGTGAAAGCACAGAGTCCTAACCACTGGACTAAAAGGTTTTAAAATAGCAAAACAAAGTACCTGTTCCTGAAAACTATATTTACATCATATACTAGTCCTTAAAATTCTTCAGAAATTCACCTGACTAGAACTGCATGCCACATAACCCAAATATTGTACTCAGACTGCAGAAGAGTGTTATATCTCCTGGCAGCTGTAATCCTTTTTGGTAGGATTACATTTCAACCTGTGTTAATGGCAACCTAGATCATTTAATACTTAATCTGGCTGGAGGCTCTGCTCCAGTCTCATCCCCCGCCATTTTCTTTTTACTTTTTATAAATTATTATTTACTTATTTTTGGCTGCGTTGGGTCTTCGTTGCTGCGCACGGTCTTTCTCTAGTTGCGGCGGGTGGGGGCTACTCTTCGTTGCGGGGCACAGGCTTCTCACTGCGGTGGCTTCTCTTGCTGTGGAGCATGGGCTCTAGGTGAGCAGGCTTTAGTAGTTGCGGAACGCGGGCTCCGTAGTTGTGGCTCACGGGCTCTAGAGCGCAGGCTCAGTAGTTGTGGCGCACGGGCTTAGTTGCTCCGCGGCATGTGAGATTATCCTTGCCCAGGGCCCGAACCCACGTCCCCTGCATTGGCAGGTGGATTCTTAACCACTGTACCACCAAGGAAGATCCATTTCTTTAAATTTTTATTGGGTACAATTGAAATTGATTTACAATATTGTGCCAGTTTCAGGTGTACAGCAAAGTGAATCTGCCATACAAATACATATAAAGGATGGACTTTTTAGAAAAGATCTTTGGCGACCTCGGAGGGCAGTTTCCGTGGGGTCAGGAGAGAGGGGAGCAGGGTTGCAAAGACTCCCATAACAAAGGTGATGAGGTGGGTTTCCGTTTCCAGATTTCCACATATCTGTGTACGGCAGGGAAAGAACCACGAGAGAGGGAGAAGGTAGAAATGTAGGCAGAACATGGGGCGAAGAGGCGCTGGGCCACAGCGATGTCACTCCCGTGGGATCGTCCGCGGGCCAGGGAGCTCCTGCTCTGCCTATATTGTCTCATAAGTATGAGGACAAATTAGAAAAGAGGGAGTAACGGTCTGTAGCGGCTGCTACGTAGCAAAGAAACCAGAAAAAGGTGGATACGCCTTCCACAGGGGACAATACGGCGCCGACACCAAGAAAAGAAGTCTCACCCCGGAGAGAACAGCTGAACCACACACAGCCGGGCCTTTTCCCAAGCCCCGCCCCTCGACCAGGTATGGCTGTGGGAGACGCACGCAGGAAGGGGTGGGGCACGAGCGCTGAGCCCGCGCGCTGATCTCGCGAGAGCAGTAGAGGGCGGAAGCGCAGTCTGTGCAGGATGAGTTTACGGGTAGTGTTCGTCTTGCTGAGCGTCGCAGCGGCGGGTGAGACCCCCCCCCCGCCCCCCCCTCCGC